GGGGATAGAGAAGGAAAAAAACCTGTACCTTAAGGTATAAAAAAATCCTTGAAAAAAGAGAAGCAGAAAGTGGCAACTAGGCAACTCTGAGGATCAGCCTGTTAAAAGAATTAAGGTACAGTCTTACTAGAAGCAGGTGAGGGAGCTGGGGGTGTTTAGCCTGGAGAAAAGGAGGCTCAGGGGAGACCTTGTCACTCTCTATGAATACCTGAAAGGAGTTTGTGGCCAGGTGGGCGGTCAGTCTCTTCTTCCAAGTAGCAAGTGATAGGATAAGAATGGCCTCAGTTTGTACCAGAGGAGGTTTAGATTGGGTGTTAGCAAAACATTTCTTCACTCAAAGGGTGGTCAAGGGTTGAAATAGGCTGCTGAGGTTAGTGGTGGATTCACCATACCAGGTACTGTTCATTAGATGTGTGGATGTAGCACTTGGGGACGTGGTTTAGTGGAGAACACAGTGATAGACTAGGTGATCTTAAACATCTTTTCCAAAATTAATGATTCTATGATTGTAAGATTCTCTGGTGGAATCAGATGAAGATCTGTTTAGTGGAGAACACAGTGATAGACTAGGTGATCTTAAACATCTTTTCAAAATTAATGATTCTATGATTCTAAGATTCTCTGGTGGAATCAGGTGAAGATCTAGATGACAAAGGAGATGAACACCAATGTGTGTATAACTTCCTTGCAACACCAGAAAAATACTTTCTGAGAGCTCATACTGCCAATGAAATACAGTACAATGCTTGTCTCCCTCATCTCTGACTGGTTGATGAGGTTTGGGATTGGCAAATTCACAGTAAACCTCACCTCTCTGAAGCTAAATGCAGCTATGCACAGGTTAATATGTTCACAATAGTCTGCACTGATGGCATAATGAAGGCAGCATGTGGTCCATCCTATATTGGGATGCCAAAATTTCTGCACCTGATTGTGTTTCTTGAGAGGCTCCTATTCAGGTATGAGACTGCTGCTACCTGTTCTGTAAATCCTAGTGAAACACCATTTAGGAGAGCCCCTGCAATTGTGTGACTACATGGACACTGTGCTGGTTCATGCACAGGGTCCCCCACCCTTCACAGGGCTGAGCCCAGAGTGGGCTGGCCTTGACACAGCACAAGAGCATGGCTGGCAAGAGGAATGAGATGGCATCTGCCTCCTCAAGGCTGGCCAAGTGATGCAGCTGGCGCAGGAAATATGCATGGTCAATTACTGTGGTGGGTAGAGCAAAAAGGCTGTGAGGCCATAACAACCACATAATAATAATGATAATAATAGTAATAGTAAACCATGTAATGTATATTTGTAACACCTATAAAGTAATTTCCTTTTACCTGTGGTTGTTGACTCTGAACTCTTGGGCATTCGTGTGTGTGCATCTCTGTATGTGAGGAATGGGATTTCTTTGGCATGCACAATTTGGGTCAGTTGCTCTTCCTCTACCTCTGGCCCTAAATCTGTTGATTCAAATATCTGATGAATTGGAAGAACTGGTGTCAGAGACTGTGAATAACAAGTCACACTGTGACAGGATGATGAAATTTGTCACTTAAGTGATCATTATTCTGAGCTACATGTAGCTTGGATTAACATCATAAGACTTGAGATAGGCAGCCCTGAAATTTTGAATTCAAAGTGCAACTGCTTGCTACCACACCAACAACCCACAGCAGTGAGCTGCAGGCTCTTGCCAAACAGGGTGAAGGCACCCCCCTTCCTACGCCTGCTGCAAACATACAAAGACTGAGTTGACAGTGAGAAAATCACTTTAACGCACAGCTTGTCTCTGCATAAACACATCTAGGAGCCAGTCATTCACAGTTTGGGAGGAAGATTCTGCCATTAGTATGAGGTAGAGACAATACATTGTGGGATAATACTAATCACTTTAACGCACAGCTTGTCTCTGCATAAACACATCTAGGAGCCAGTCATTCACAATTTCGGAGGAAGATTCTGCCATTAGTACGAGGTAGAGACAACACATTGTGGGAATACTTTGTTGAAGTAATTTTGCCTAGAAAACTTTCACTGCATTGCAACCATTAATAAAAAAGACGAGTAAGAATAAAGTACTGTGGCCATTAGAAATCAGTGGTGCATTCTGTGCCAGGAGTCACCAGCTAAGTTTCCATTTGAATTCAACAAATGGGATGGTTAGTATCATTGCAGAGTTTAAAGTGGAGATAAGCAATTACATGGATTCTCTGATGCATTGAGTTGTGCCACTGGCAAATGACTGACCTGGGGTCTGGCACTGTGGTTTCTTCCTTGACTGGCTGAGTGTCCCTTCATTTTCCTGGCATAAGGTCTCAGTCCTGCAATTCCCCTGCACAAGCCTTGACTCCAGTCTGCTTGTGGCAGCCAGTCTGCTTGTGGTAGAAGGGAAAGTGTCATGATTGTCTGATGGGGTGGGCTCAGCTGTCCATCCTGGGAGTCACCTTCAGCACCCGGAGTCTTGCCAGCCACTGCTATCCTACCCTTCTCTGAAAGTGATGAGATTTTTATGATGCCTGCTAGGCTCAGTCAGACAAATTAGGACAGCTTTTGAAAGAAAGGCTGTGAAATAACCGTGGTGCAGCTTTAAAGAGGTTCTTGGACAGTTTAATGTCTTTTTTTTTTGTTTGTTACTCCATCAATCATTTAGTGCTATTAATATTTGAATTTCTGCCAAATGTGTGGTGTTTCCTGAAGCTCAGGGGCAAACATCAAACATCAAGAACTGCTGAAAGAGGAACTAGACAAACATTTTTGCACTCAACTGATCCAACTAGAACTAGTACTAGGACCCTAACTCAAAATCTTAGGACAGCTGTTACACTTGGAACAGGCTAATCTTAATCTTCAACAGAGAAAAAGGATCACGTCCAGCTGTTTCTAAATTATTGCAGATAATTCAGTGCCTGCTTTCACCACCAGAGCTGCTTGGCTTACAGGGGAAAATGCTAAAAAAAAATCTATTTGCTGAAGTACAATGGAATAGTTTTGTGGGGTTTTTTGTTTGAACAGAAACCATCAAGTGGGAAAAATGGGTTATATCAACTTTGTTGGAAAACAAAGGTGCTTAGAACACAAGTTGATTTTTGTGTTCCTTTAAAAGAAATCTAACTCCTGTGTAAATGAGCTGAAATTATTTCCAAGCAAATTCCTTGCCTCTGCCTTATCATCAGCAGGTCTTTAAAGTTAAAAAGAGATATGCTTGTTCATTTGATCTGACTGACAGGCATTTACCACATATTCTTTCTTATGCTTCCAGAGCAAGGAGATAACTAGATAAAAGTATTTCTGAAAAATTGCAATAGAAAGGAGATTTGAATTTTTCTAATGTCAGTGCAAATCAGAGGTCATTTTCTTGGAGATGACAGAACTGCACAGACGTAAGGAAAATAAATTATAATTTCCAGAGGGCACTTCACTGTTTCCATGAATGTATCCTTTCTCAGCTCCCTTATATTTGTTCCATCATTGCAGTCAGTGACAGAATTAAGGTTTTCCAAATTTTTCTACTGTGAACAAAACAAAAACAAACAAACAAACAAACAACAGAGCAAATTTGAAGGTTAAGATTTATGTACCTTTAATGTGATGGACAGTGATTGCCTATTGCTGACCTTGGCCTCTCTGTCTTTCACACAGAAGATTGCCTGCAAGAGAGAAAAATAAAATTGTGTGGTCAGAGGTAATTTTCCCTCATCTGCAGCTCCTTAGATGTGACAAGGACAGTGTAGGAGACAGGTCCAATAAAAGCACTGCTGGCAAGAAATTGTATTGAAGACTTCGGTATTTGGATTACAAGCCCAAACATATAAACATACACCCACTCTGCCTCTTAATGTCTCTGTCATTCATGGCAATGCATCCATACTGGCTGTGCTTTCAAAAGTAGCTGCCCTTTGATGCTGTGCCTTCCCAAGCTGCCCAGCTGAAGTCACAAAAGGAAAAATCTCCTTAATTCCCTAGAAAACAACCCACCATCAACTTCTCCAGGTTCCTCTCACTTAGTAAGAAATGGAGACAGAAGGATGACTGGTTTTTACCTGTGCTTGTTCAGCTTTGGGGAATTAAACTGTCTTGTTCAGATCTGAAATTGTGTGTGGGTTTTTTCATTTCAGTTAAGCCTTATGTGCTATCTCTGGTAGAAACTTCAAAGTTCTGTGGTACTTTTTTCTGAATATTTTTTTGGCAACAGTACCATGTATATTTCTTTAAGCTCTCAGTTCAAAAACCTGGAGATTACAGATCATGTAGCAAAGGCTGTTAGACTTATCCTTGATACCTGCTTTTTTTTCTTTATTTTTTATTTTTTTGATATATAAATATAGACATTTACTTTTTAAATAACCATGAGAACTTATCAGTGGGTATTTATTATGTTAATTAGAATGACTGCCAAGCTGATTTTGACCACAGACATGCAAACCTTAAAGAATACCTTTGAGTAATGATTTATACTGAATATCACCTGATTTTTTTTCTGAATTTTCCCATAGCAAAATAAGTGAAAAAAGCGAAGCATATAAAGATAGATCACTGGAAACAAAATTGAAATGGGGGATGCAGGATAAGTTTCTGCAGTGATGTCACCCTGCTTATCAGATAGGAAAATTTAGATGAGATACAATGTAGATGTTAAAGGTTTTCTAATCACGTGGAGAACATGCTGGTTATAGGTAAACAAAAAGAAAGAGAACTTCCTTTGACACCATGGACTCATTCTCACATTGTTTTGATTTTAGAAGTCTGAAGTGTAGAACTAAAGTACTGGATCGTGTATATTTTGTATACGTTGAAACTTTGCTATAAACTTTCTCACTTGCAAGAGATCACACCAAAGTTTCATAATGATAAATACATCTGTTTCCAGTACCTCTGTATGTGACTCTGTTTCCCGTACCTCTGTATCTTGGACAAATAAATAGGTTTACAACATATCTGACTAATAATTAACACATTCAAACTCTTCCTGGAAAACTGTAGTCTGCAGCTTTCAGTTCAGATTTCTTTCTGACTTCTAACTGGAGGCACTACCTCCAGAGTAAATGAACATTTGCTGAGAAAGTGAAGGACAAAAAGGCTTCCAGAGGCACAAGAATGTGGCACAAAATTCAGATATTGCTCTTATACTGCATTGCCAGTGAAGTTTCAATGACAAAACGTCTTGATTCCAGAAGAAATTTCCCCCAGGCACTTCACTCTGTAAATGCCAGTGATCCTGCTAAGTGGAACAGGATTAAAAGGAGTCCATATCAGGGAAGTTCCTGCAGGATACGCGGCTGTTGCCCAGGAAGAGATGACGACTGCCGCTTTACCATTGTCTCCAGAGGAGCTGTGTGTTACTGTGACCAGCACTGCACCTCGGGCTCCCCTGGTCCTGTGGACTGCTGTACGGACTACTGGGATGTCTGCAACCACCCCGCCGAGCCCAGCAGGTCAGAGGAGCCTTGGCCGCCTCTAGCAGCGGGTAAGTAGAGAGAAAATGCTCAGCTGGCTTTAGTGCATCCCAGTGAAAAGGTATATAGAAGTAAAATCCTGAAAATTTTACTAAAGTCATAGTGGATAAAGACACTGAGCATGAAGCTGGAGTGAGAATTACACTTGCTGTTATTTCTTTGTCTCTAGGATATAAGCATTGATTTGATTGTATTTGTCTTGGACAGAACCTCTGTTTCATTTGAAACTTCTCAAATAGCCTCATTGGGTCAAAATTAGTGTAAACAAACATTTCAGTAGGGTTTCACAGATTAACATGAGAAGAACAGCAAGATCTAAATATTTGTATCCATTAGTCCAAACAAATTATCAACAAAACTGAGGGTTATCCTGAATGACAGTGCCCTGAGGTGTTCTGCAATGCTTCTGGCTCAGCATAGCTTTCCTGTAGGACACTTTTTCTGGCAACAGCTCAGGTGCAGGACTAAATGAAGAGATGTGATTAGAACAAGGAGTAGGTGAAGGGATGTGTTTAGAACAAGGATTTGTGCTATATTTTAGTTTCTTACTAGTTAGTTTGCAGTGCAAGTGCCTCCAGGATTACTCTAAGCTAAGTCTAATTACTTTTAGCACTAAAGATTGCAAAAAAAATAAAAAATTCAAACATCGGGTCCTCCCTTGGCTTGTGGATAGGCCAAATCTCTGCTGGTGGAAAAAATTTGGTATTGTGGATTTTAAGACTATGTAGCTTCTTACTGTCAGTACACCAAATCTGGCCAAAGATGTAGAGAATGTACCAAAGTTTAAAAAGCCTAAAATCAATAAAATACTATGGAGATTTTTAAAAATTAACTGTCTCTTTGCAATAACCTTGCTGCTTGAAGTTCAGCACTCAGAACACAAGCTCTTCAGGAGGGTATGCGCTTAGGTGAGCAGCCAAAATCTGGTAAGTGGGAGTGACAGAAATGCTGCATAACAAATTTGATTTTCCAAAGTTTTTCTAAGCATTTAAAAGAATGTTCTAAGGCTCTATGTAAATAAAATTTCTTCTCATTTTTATTCTGTGCAGTGGTATATATTACTTTTGACATGAGGTTTCTGTTGTAAGCTCTACTTAAACATGTAGTTGTATTTCTGCCCAGAGCTGAGAGCTGGTGAGTCTACTTTGGCAAACTGTCTCATGGAATTAAATCATTACAAAACCTGCAGCAGTTTGCCACATGATCACTGCCACAAGCCTACCTCTGAAAGGTAGAAGTGTAACAGAAGTTTTAGATAAGGGAATAGGTGAGGGGTAATCTTTTTACTGCTTTCTTAATCCAAATTTTTGCATTTGTGTTCACTGTTTGTAACTCCTAACATACCTGCCAGGGGTAGCAATTATATTTACAGTACCTTTGCTTGTCCTATGGATGATCTTATACTATTTTTAATACGTCATCTTTAAAAAGATGGAAAGTCCGAAATTTTAAAAAATCTCTTTATTGGATATTCATTATGTAAGTAATTCAGAGAGTAAAAGATGAATAACAAAACCAAAATAAAGCAGGGGGAAAGAAAGGTAACAAACAAAACTGTCACTAAAGAATCCTTGTAGAACTGGAATATCTGAGGAATTGGAATGAAAAAAAGGAGAAACAAGTAGAACTAAATGCCTGAAGATTAAGCAAATTAGGAAGCATCATTAGAATGACACAAGTGTGCTAGCTGACTTTTAGCAACTGAGACTACACTTCTGCCTTAGGCTAGGAATTATTTAAGCACTTAAAGACCACATGTGCCAAAGTATTTTTTAGCCAGATCTTGATCTTTTGGTTGCCAGAGGTTTTGCTCTCAGACCCTCCTGAGTCACAGTTCTTTAAATAAACCAGAGAAGTGAAGTGTTTTACATAGGTTGGAATGTACAGCAATAAAACTGCTCAGTGGTTTATTTCTGGATCCCCACATATTCACTGATCGTGTACAGCAGAAACAAGCTACACTGCGACTTCTTCCATGTGTGTGCACCATGCTGGGGGTCAGTATTGATTTAAATGTGTGGAACTGCTTTAACTCTGCCTTTATAAACCCAGCCTACAGTTTTTCTTTGACTTTCATGTGTAGTTTCAGAAGAAACTGCACATTCCTGCCTTAGATACTGAATAGAAGTTCAGGGTCTTTTTATTATAGTCATATTTTAAATTTTTAAGTTAGAAGAACTTTTTGAGTTTTATCTCAGGACTTTATTTATTATTTATTTAACATCTTTATTTCAGTTATTCTGACAGTACAAAAAGCCCTGTGAAAACCCACACTCTGGTCTCACTCTGTTGGTAGTGTCAAAGTGACATCCAGTGAGTCTGCTGATTGCTTTTACATGACAGATGTGATCTGACCTACAAGAGAGTAAACCTGGAGATATTTCACTGACAGAAGTACTCACATCAATGCTGGGGACACATTAAATAAGAACCATTAAGGTTATATGAATGTTTGACTGTGAAGGAAGTCTCCATTGCTCAAATTTTCTTCTTTCCATTGATGATTTCACATCATAAAATCTCATTCACAGAGTCATTAAGCTGCATCTTCAAATTAATTAATTTCCCACTTAATGTACACTTTTTAATGTACACAATTAATACACTTAATGTATTAATATTCCAACCTGATACATTCAGAGCCAGACATTTGCTGTATTCTCATGTGTCCTCTAGCTTAGATAACTCTGTTGTCTCACTGATGCCTTAGGCAGTACTTCTGGCCCACAAAATATTAACTTGGCTAGGCTAAAGAAACTGCATAGTGTTAATTTTTTATTCCTTAAGCATACATCATTATAAAGCTGCTTCTGTAGTAGTCCAGGTTTGCATTTTATCTTGGGCACAGGCAGTGAGCCCTCCCAGCAGAGCTCCAATCAGGGTCTGTTCCATCTCTCAAATGCTGTATCAATACTTCCTTCTCTTGATATTTTTGAAATAATTTGCTTGATCCTCCTTCCAGCTACTGTCTCATGCTGACATAGTTGCATACTGTGACAAACTATGGCACTTTGGTAATTTGCTTTGAGTATTCTGTGAAAAATACCTCAGCTCTTAGCTGAAGTTGGGTTAGAGCAGACACTTTGGGCCTCAGACTGCCTGGGCGGGATCTATTTTACCTGTGCTACCTCCCAGAGCTTGCTGAATTAAAAACAGGGAAATAAAGGTATTTATAGTTAATAATCACTTAATAATCGCCTCTAGTTCCCTTCTGCACTTTGTTATGCAATCATGTAGGGCTCAGAGAGCGTGTTTCTGTGCTGGCAAGGAAGGAGGTGCAGGCAGCTGAGGGTGGGCTGTGTGTACCGGGGCCTGGCCTTCCTCACGCTCCTGCTGGGGAAGAGCAGGGTACCCTGCACGTTTGCAAGTCAACACCATATTAGAGCTTCTTGAAAATGGAGGAGAAGGGAGTCCAAGCCCTCTCAGCAGGGGAAGAAGCATGGTGTCTGGAGGCTCACCTGTCAGAAGAGGCTGTAAAACAGAGCCCCGTGTGATAAGTGTCCAGTGCTCATTCCTGACTCAAGGAACAAGCCCTGGATTGCTGGAACTCAATCCTGACGCTGTGCAGGCGGTCTGGATCATTCTTCCACTGAAGCTTTGACAATCAAATGCACTGACGAAACAATTTATGTGGGAGGTACTGAAACACTCACTAAATATTTTCTCAGTGAAGTGTTACCAAATAAAAAAATGAGAGGGATGTATTTTGTTGGAGAACTCGTTCCTCAATTTACTTTTCATGGTGGGTTTTGAAGGGTGTATGAAACATACATTTGCCTTGAAGTGCAATTGATCTGTCTGTTTTTCAAAGAGGAATTAATCTGGCAAGGAAAAAGAATTTATTACAATACTTTTGCAGTATTCACTAGTTTTTAAAATTCTATATCTGTAAAATCTTATTTCTATTTTAATTGCCAATTAGAAAATAATTTATATTAGAAATATTTTCTTTCTAATATTGGAAAACAACTTTCTTTGAAGAATTTTTTAAATTTATATAAGATAATAATTCTTCAGTGGGTGTTTTGAATCTGATGCTGAATTTATTTACTATGAATGATAATATATTTTCTAAAAACATAAAATACATTGAACTGCCTTCATTACTGGGAAGAAACTGGAAACATATTGCTGACTTTCAGCTAAATAATTGAAACATACTGCATAAAACCAATTAATGCAATAGTAGCAAGAGTTTTCAGTAATTCACTTGAAGAATTATTTTATTTTCACACATCTATATGTTATGTTGGCAGGTTGTTATAAAGATGGCCGATATTACGGAGAAGGAACAATAATTAAAGACAACTGCAATTCCTGGTAATGTTTCAGAGAACTGCAAATTGAATTTTATCTAGCATATGTCATGAAACAGAAATTAAGGTAGAGAGCATCTTTAAATTCATATTAAACATGTAATCAAATCAAAATGACTGCAAAAGTAGTGCTGAGTATTAAGATTTTGTGGAGGTAGATTACAGTCAATTTAGAAGAACAGCAAGAGGGAAACTGGAATTTCTAATCAAGATATGAGTATTAGACTATTCAAATCTTTTCCTCATGGGCCTAATTCAGTTCCTGCTCAGTCGAACCTAAATTGAAATGGTTTCAGTCTAGACCTGGGCATTGACCTGAATGCAGATCAAACAAATATAACAAATATCATTAAACTTTATAGTTTGGTGGTTTTGTTTTTTGGTTTTTTTTTCTTTTTTTAATGAGTTATTGGAACTTATATCAACCTGTAAGGAAAGGATACATATATACATATATATGCATTTATATTGAAAGGGGTGAATTGTTTGAGCAGCCCTTTCTCTGCCTTGGACAGGACCAGACAGAGCGAGCAGGGGAGCTTTGCTGTCAGCCCTGGCCGTTGGGTGTCTGGGCTTTGCCTCTCCAAAAACCAACCCTACCCTGGAGTAGGAATCCCAGGGCTCCAACCTGACCCAAATAGGGCTGGAGCTCCCACTGTGCTGACTTTAGCCCGGGGTGCTTGGACCACTATGTCTGGGGCCACAAAACCCTTTCTGGGTTTCCAGAGTAAAACTTCCTCAAAACATCACATTTTTTCAGGAATTCAACATCAACATTACATTCCCTCGTTTGGTCTCACAAAGATGGAAGCAAAATGTTTCAGAGATGACCTTTCTCACAAACTGTAAACCTTCCCACCTTGTTCCAACTCATTAGACAGTGAAGTAGGAAGAAATCATGCTATGTTTTCAAAAACTCTCTGTGACAATTATATTGTTCACACTTTTTCCCCCCTCCATCTGCCTTCTGCTGTTAAAGTGCATATTTTTCCTTTGACAATTCTTTTTTTTGTTTAATGATATTCTTGTCCTTTCAGCAAATGTTTCAACAGTCTCTGGAAATGTTCAACAGACGTGTGCCTTGTTCGCCAAGACTTAATTCAGCACATCAATTCTGGAGATTTTGGGTAAGAACCCTTTTATTTTAAAGTTTTGTTATGCATCACAGTATTGCTCATTCTGTGTATGTGCAAATTACAAGGTATGCAGTCTTTCCCATCCCTTATTTCTCCAAATACATTACAGCAATTTGACAGTAAGTATGCATTTGTGAAACTTTCCAAATCACTGGCAGATTATAAAGCTTTAAATGGAAAGATACTGAACATCTCATGCTGGTAAGAGAACATCTGCTGTAAACATCTATCTAAAATATTTTCCAAATTTAGAACAATTTTTTTTCTCTGAAAACAAGATTTGCATCACCTTCCCCTATTCTTCACTGTGTTTATTACTTGGGATAGATATTTAAAGTAATTTTTTCTGCTCCCTTGAGAGCACTGTTCCATGTAACAGGACTCTATGTAGCACTGGAAGTGGAGAAAATGGCTGCAATGGGGATCAAGTTATCAGAATTCAGAGGGCTTGGTGTTTTTCTCACTAACAATCTCATTCCCCTGGCTAGTGCACAGAGATTAGGGACCCCAGTACTGGATCTGTGCCTTGGGAGCCTGCTGGCTGTTTACAGACAGAGATACAGCGGCAGTCTCCCTAGGATCTGGGGTGCCAAATTTGCCAATGAAGCCTGCCCAGATTTCAAGCTGTCATGAGTGCTGAAAAGTTTTGTACTTCATGGGAGGCATTTAAAGCAGCTGAATTAGGATAAACAACCAAGCTGGGCCCCTGGAGCCTGAACCTGTCTCTTGTCAGTGGTGACCAATGACATCTACCACAGGGTGACAAGTGAGATATGACTCAACTTCTCCCTGTGCTTGCACTTTTCACTGACCCCAGGGAGACCAAGAACAGTGAGGCTTCTTTGGGCAGCACAAATCCCTTTCCTTGTTCTTTTTATAAAAGCAAGGAAGGAACGGGTAAAGAGAATGCTCTCTCCCCTGTCACTCAGCCCTTGTCCAGTAGTAAATTTCAGTGTGTTCCAAATGTGTATGGCTGCAAGGGTGTTTTTATTGTGTTGTGCATGTCAACTTTGCAATCTGAGTCGGGTCCACCTGAGAGTAGCAAGGGAATACTTAGAGAATCATGGGGAGCCCTTTCTCTCACAGTGGCTATTGATATAAAACTTGGGCAGAAGGCGTCAGCTGGGCTTTTTGCTGGGTTCAACAATACCTCTCTGCTGGTGCACCAGAGCTTGGAGGTGCACTGCAACTCACAGCACGAGGCTGCTGGCTCTCTGTGGGAATCTGGGCTGGAGCATGATTTGAGCATAACTTCAAGAGAACAGCAATGTTCTGACTGTCTTGTTTGCCAATACTGCTCTGAAGTATTGCACACTTGTGTCCTGCAGGCTGCTGTGAAGCTGACCCCAAATCACCACTATTCATATAATGCTGTGTTGCTCCATCCTGCACTTATATGCAGTGGAAAAGCCCATAGCAAATATTTTCTTATGCATATTGAATACAAGTTTTTGAAGTACAATTTCAAAAATTTATTTCTGGATGCTTTTGGTAGTTGTACTCTTGAAAGAATAATGTGTTAATGTGAGTGTTATCTTTAACCTGGGTCTTGCTTTTTGGTTTTCATCTCTGAGGAAGATGGAAAGCTGAAAACTACAGTCAGTTCTGGGGAATGACAGTGGAAGAAGGTTTCAAAAAGCGCCTGGGCACCTTCCCTCCATCTCATTCTTTGCTGAATATGAGAGAGGCTCCTGTAAGTGTCATGTACACTTGTTAATTTTTTAAAATAACTTTGTCACATGGGAAGATAAATATGGACAATTATAAGAGTATGATTCAGGGTTTTGTCACTAAATGTTTCCATGTTGAATATGATGTTCCTGAAACAGTTCTATAAGTCATAGAATGTCTGGCCCTATTGACAGAATTCAAACAAGAAGGAGCAAAAGAAAATCCTAATCACTGTGAAGCTCTGCAGCAATATTAACTTATCATTGTAGCTCACTTCCTTAAGAGGCCTCTATATTAATTCTCTCCATTTGCTAATGTTTGCACACACAGCTGTATCCATAGAAAAATACATCTGGGCATAGTTCATTAAGGTGAACAGCTGAGACTAAATAGCAATCTTTGAAAGAAGCTGTGAAAGCTTTTTATGGGTTTTGAACAAATGGACAGCAAAATTATGGAAATAATTGCAAAATGAAATGGTTCTCTACTATCAGCTTTCTAAATGCCTTGGCCATGGCAATTTTCATGACAACTAAATTAAATTTCCTATCATTTATTTATGCTGAAATTCGTTTGACATCAAAGCAAATACATTTTAAGTTATGTACACTGGTTAAGCAATTTAAGAAAAAATACAAGTTATTGAATCCAGAGTGATTTTTCCAAAGCTTTGGATCAGTTACTTAGTTTCTTTCTTAGAGGACACAATTTATGGAATTCACAGACCAAAAATCTCCACCTAAATAGCTCACCAGAGTGAAATTAGAGGTAAAAGTATAAACAGATAAATCCAAGGTTTGCAAAAGCGTTAAGTATAACAGGTGTTTATCTTTGCCTTCAGTATAACTCAGGCAAGTGATGCCATTTCTTTATCTATTAGAAGTCAATTGCTGATGCTTGTTTATGTGTTGTGGCGTTTCTACAATCAAAAGAAAACTTTCCAAACAATATTAAAGGTGGTAATATAAAGAGCAGTTCTTTAATGAAAGCTTTCAGGTGCACAAAATATCTTTGGGCATACCCATTATGGGATTTCCACAAATTTTGTAAGTTTAACTAATTAGTATGTCTAGCAAGTACATTCTATGGGAGACCAGTGGCCCTGGTAACCACCCTTGGCCCTGCCCCTCAGTGTCTCTCCAAGGGGTTCTCAGCTCTATATTTTGTTGTGTCTCCTGTGTGCTGGTACAAATCAGGGTATTCTTGTCAGAAATGCTTTTCTTGAAAATAAGACTATTTATTTAAACAGAATATCAAGAAAGTGGCATAAATCTGTGAGAAAGGGTAATCTACTGTTCTGAAGTGTGAGAAAGCATGAAAAATTATACAGCTGCATATTAAAAATCTACAAAAGTGTGAAAATATATATATATATATAAATCTTTAGATATCAGTGGCAGAAGGATTTGCACATGATAGAAGGCCCTGTGGCATGAATGTGCCAAGGTGGATTTCTGGAGAAAAATGCACTGAATCTCCTTGGGTGTCTGGTAGTGCCAAAGAGAGGCCATGCCCTCTTTCCCTAAAACCCTATGGGGTTTAGGGAAAGAGGGCATGGCCTCTGTAATAATTTGAGAAGTCCTAACCCTTTGGTTGATTCAAACCATTCTTGGTTACAAACAATATTTGCTCCCTGCCCCAGCATGGTGAGGCATTGTGCTCAGGCCCAGATTGGCCAGCTCAATAAAAATCACACTCTGAAGGGTGCCAGAGTAAGCAGTGGACAGGAATTAAGCTTTGGAGTTTTGTCTTGTAGGATTTTCTGGACTACTCTTGGCAGCCAAAGAAGGATAATTTGATTTGAAGATGGCAGGTCAAAATAAGACAATGGCACAAAATAATTTAAGTACATTTAGTAGGTGTCTACCTTAAGTTACCAGTGAACTGCACTGAGGCTCAAAAGAGTTTGACTGATTTGTTGTTTTTGGCATTTTCCTTGTGGCATACAGTGTGAAGCTTATGTAGCACAGGCAAAAAAAGGATGTCATATACCCAGCCCAGAGATTGACATCTCCATTGCTAGGTATCTAGCTAGGTGACACAAATCCCACCTAGGGAAACAGGAGAGGGGAAGGTTTCAAGAAATTCTTCATAATACTTCCTTTCCTGTGTTCAGTTTGCAGTAGCTGTTTACTCAGTAGTCCTGTATTATACCCAGCTTATTGAATCATTGTTATTAAGTTTCCTGCAGCTATTTTAACTGCTACACTTCTTACAGCCTTTGTTCCACAGATACATTTCTCAGTCATATTTTCTCTGTCTGCTGTTTTATGAAATCTGTGAGCCACAACACAACTCTCTTTGGCACTACCAGACACCCAAGGAGATTCAGTGCATTTTTCTCCAGAAATCCACCTTGGCACATTCATGCATTTAGTCATCATGAGACTTCCTTACATGTTGCTGGAATCACATACCTTTCACAGGATTCTAGGAAATCTTTCTACTTACATAAGCTAAAATATAAAATAATACTCTCCATATGGCTTTCTCAGCTTCTGCAACATTCTTAGTGAAATCACAAACTTCCTCAAGTTGCTCATAGAGCTTTTAAAAGTTCTCCTTTTAATAAAAGACCTTACCTGCTCAACAAGGCGATACTTTTGTCTGGAAGGGAAGTTTTTCATGATGGTACATTAGAACAGCCAAAAGGCAATTATATGGAGCAGGAACCAAATCTGAACTGAGGACCCTCTGCTGCACAGTATGGCTAGACCTGAGTATGGACCAACAGCTAAATGCATTGCTAAACCTCTTTGACTCCTGACAAAGCGGAAACTCCTCCATCTGAGAAGGCATTTTCACTGCAGGAGACAGTGCAATCATTCTTGAAGTTCCATGTAGCACAAGAATAATTGCAACACCTTTAAAAGCATTGTGATGCACTTTTGGTGGTATTCTGTCAGCACAAGTCCTGGCAAGAGGTACATTGCAATGGTAAGGTCTGCACCCCCAGAAACAAGGTTCTCACCTGTGTGCCATCTTACAAGACAATGAAATACATCATTCAGTAATAAGGCACCATTTTCTCACTAAATACCAAGAAGCTGGCAAAAACTATTGGAAAGTAGACAAAGTAATGCATCTGTTCCACTGGTATATGGCTTTTCACAGTAAAACTCCTCAGCAGTTGTAGTTCTCTTGCGAATTGAAGGTCATTCATGCCCATTTGGTCTTCACAAAGCAAGTTATGTCCAGGATCTTTTTGCTATATTGAAAAAAAAAGAAAAAAATTGCTTTTCTTCAGGGAAAATATTTCCACATTTGCAAATTCAGTTATCTTTGTCCTTTTTTCTCTTATTGGTCATCTGTCTTTTCTGAAGAAGTCATTGTTGATATTCGAGTGCTCTTTTATGTCCTCTTACCTTCCTGCTTTGGTCAGGCTGCTAACTTCACTGCAGAGAGTACATAGAAAGGTTTAAAAATAGTTCACCAGTCATTTTGCTGATTGCCTTTGCTGTCTGATGCTGGTCCATGGAGCATACACTGAGAAACAGCTGTCTAGACTTGGTATTTGCCACAGACCAGCAGCACTTCTCAATATCAGGGTAGAAACTTTTTCAGAAAAAAAGCCAATGTTTCTGACTACAGATCAGTCCTGTACTTCTAAATGACAAGGCTGAGAGTTAATGAGGAATTTGCTCTGGGATTTACAATACGAGGTTAATAAATACAGTGACAGTAGGTTAGGAATACATAAAGCAATACATTGTCAAGACTGGAGATCTATTTAGAATTTTGCTTTTCTCATTGGCCTCATTTGTAATGAGGCATCATAATGAGCATTATAAGCAGCCATTACCCACACAATTGTGCTAAATATGTGCCAAAATTTGCTTTTTTATTGGTTGGTAGTGAACAGACTCATCATATAAAAGAAATTCTATTTGTCTGGAATTTCTCCTGTATGTTTCATCTGCAAAGTAAATCTTGAGCTAGTGCTTACTCACTAATAATGAACATAATGATAATTTTTCAAGTTATTATTTAAATTTGTTGCTGCTTCCTGGGTGTCTCTTGATGTTGCAAGACCCATATATATAAACCTCGGAAAAAACAGTCTTTGAAACTGATTAAGCAAAATAATGAGATTAATATTTTAGCAAAGTTTAAAAATTTTTTGGCCTTGTACAGGTGGAGGTGAGATTTTCAAAATCATTGAAGTGATTTAACAGTCACTGCAGTATTCCTTCATGGATTCAGGACTCGCAGCCTGCATCTCAGGCTCAGCCCAGAACCACAGGGTCTGGGAAAGCACACAGACTGCATCAATTTGCCTGTTGGGGCTGTGTCCCAACAAAATGTCAGATACAGACCTGAGATACGAGCTTCCTTTTTCCTCACCCACTTTTTCTCAGCTGGGGATTCTCTGTGGAAAATCCAGGTGTACAAGCTGGATGGAGGCACTACTGTTTCACAATGTAAACAACAAAGTGATCTTGATACAGGCAAAGGGCTAAAATTTGGTTCTCCAAAGAGTCCTAAAATAGTTTGAAAGAACTGGCCTCAAATGTTTAAATAATCCTAGCAAAAGGTATGTTTTATAATTATAAATCACATAAACAATTTAGAAAAATAGTTTAGCAAGGGTACCCAGAATTTAAACAGGACAGAAGCCATTGTGCTTCACAATTCAGCTTGCTTATGAGAAAGAAGCATCAGTGAGTGTTTTGCTCAGGAGCAGATTATCTTGTTTTTTATATTGTATTTCCTTCTGGAACAGAGGTTATCAACAATTTTTTGAAACAGACTGATTGCATGGCTTAATACTGCAATTCTCTGTGGCCATTCCTATTTCCTTGCACAGCACAATCCATCATTCCATCAAGTACAACAGTAAAAAAAATGGGTTAATTATTTTGATATGTTGAACATAGAGGAGATTATTAGCAGTTGTACCAGATGGCTCTTGCATATGCAAATATTTGTTCAAAGCTTGGAGGACTTTCGAGTGGGACATAAATTTAGGCTGAGACATGAAGGTGCCAGAAATGGCAAATTGCTTTAGTGAGCAGATGATGAATTTTCATGAATTCACTATCAGACTGAAAAGCAGAAGAAAAATCACTGATTTTTATTCTGAAAAAGAAATAATTGCTTCAGATTGAATAACCTGTATGTAAAAGACAAATCAATGATACACTGTACTTATTCCTCTCCCATAGTGACTAAAATTTCTACAGTCATGTCTGGGAGAACAGGGTAACAGGATTTAACTTCAACTCTATTTGTAGCAGAGAGCTTTTCTTTCCAAAAATGCCAGCTGAGTCACACTTAGCAAATTTCATAGGGAATTATTGTTTGAGATAAAAATCAGAGAAGAACTGGTCAGGTTATTCAGGTTGGCAGTCTTGAAGCTCAGCTTTTCAGCTCAGCTAATGGAGTGCCAGAAGCCTCCTGCTCTCAGGGGTCTGCAGCACCCAGCCATGGGGAAACCACCACAGGGTTGCTTTGGAAGTCACAGGGGCCAATGTTTTTTTTCCTCAGTCTAAAAATTAAGAATTTTACAAATAGAATTATGATAAAATTTATGACAAAAACAGGAGATTAAGCATATACAGATGTTCTACATTTTGTTTTAGGGAAAATCACTCCCAGAAGAAAAATTTCCTGCAATCTTTTCAGCCACTTATGAGTGGCCTGAGTGGATTCATGATCCTTTGGATCAGAGAAACTGTGGAGCATCCTGGGCTTTTTCAACTGCAAGTAATATTTCTTTTTACTCCCTTTGAAAGTATCAGTAATGTTAGATGTGTAATGAAAATTGTAGTGGTTTGTAACAAAATAATATCAATTTGCTTTTCACCTTTTATTACCAAATAGGAACATTTAAAATTGCTACAACTTTCCCTCTATACTATCCCAAAATGTTTAAATGTCAATCTAAGCTGCAGCACTTTGCTTTTCATAAAATTGCGTAACATAAGCATGTGATCAATCTTTGTGACTTAATTTGGCCAGTGGGTCCTCACAGGTGCAGGTTTCTGCAACTGCTTATTTAAATCACAGCAGTAAGAGAAGGAAAGGAGCTTTAAGGTCAGCTAATCCCAGCTCCTTGAAAAAAAACCAGACTGAACGTGCTCTTTTTCTGATATATCTTATCCACTGCAGTTTTAAAAAGAGAAAACCAAAAGAGCTTTTAACAGCTCTTTTGACAGATAACTGCAGAGATGAACAGAGATCACTGAGGGAAAGACTTTGCAGATATTGTGTCTAATTTTTCCTTTCCATAAGCAAATCTTTTTATTTTAATTTACATAATTATTTTCAAAGCTATGTAGTGTGAGATGCCTTCACATGTTGTTTAGGTGCATCTAACCTTTCAGTCTGAGTTTTCAAGATTCGTTGTTGATCAGTGAACAGACAAGCACTGCTGTATAATTTTTTCTTATCATAAATAATTTCTGTAAACACTCCAAAACTTTATAACAGAAGGCTTTTATACCTATAAAAATAAATTCATTGTCGTGGGACACTTCTCAAAAGCACAAAATACAGTTGTCACCTGACGTCAGCAAATTTTATTTTCTAAAGTCTTCTTCAGACTCCACCCAAGTTAATGTTGATTTTGATCAGGATTTAGATTTCGAGAGATTTTTTTAAAACTTTATTTTAAAATTTAAAAATGTGGGGCTAAAAGTAATACAGACAAAATTTAATCATAGGTAATAACTTGCAAGAGGCTCAATCATTGTTTCATTGTCATTTGATAAAGAAAGTAGAAGCACCTTAGTTTCACCGACAACTTAGTTAACCTAGTCTGCCTTTAAATCAGTTCATAAATATATAAGAACTAATAATCCTAATTATCTGATTGAATTCAGATAAGGTATCTATGTCTGAGGGATAATTTTGTGTAATGAGAAGGTGTCCCACATTTACACTTCAATATGAACATCTCCAAATATTCTTTGTAATAAAACCAAAATATACTTTCAGTCTTGAATTTTCTTAATAGGACTGCTCTTTCAATATTCTTTGTAATAAAACCAAAATATACTTTCAGTCTTGAATTTTCTTCTTAATAGGACTGCTCTTTTTCTTTTTTCTTTCCCTTCACATAAAGGAAAGAAAGGTTGGAAAGAAAGCAAAGAGATTTGGAGATTCAGCTGTAGAAGTATTTGTTTCTTCTGCTGAAGACAAGATGTGAATATGCATTTACAAACATGATAGAGACAATTACACAAATGTCTCACCTGATATTTAGGTATTTGGAACTTTATAATAGCCAGTAAATCTAGGAATTTGTCATATAACAGCAAAGTTGTTCCTGATGATTTGCAGTTTCACAATGCTCTCTCACAAAAGTCTGGACAGATTATATCAATACTTTTTAGTGAAGATATCTGCACAGACAAAAAATATTGAGGTTGTATTTCTGTCCCTCTTTCACAAAAACAAATACAAAGTTGTGAGTAATTACTTGATTTTGATAAAAGAAAATTTATTTTCAAACAGGTGTTGCAGCAGATAGAATAGCAATTCATTCAAAGGGTCAGATCACAGACAACCTTTCTGCTCAGAACTTGATCTCTTGTGATACCAGGAATCAACATGGATGTAATGGTGGAAGCATTGATGGTGCCTGGAGATACCTGAAAACACATGGGTAAATATTTCATTTGTCTGTTTAGATTATTTTAGATTATTAAGTTGCTTAATTTGTAATAGGATAATACCATAAATGTACTTAAAACTTCTGTGTTTCTTGGGATACAGGCTCTTCATTTGAAATAGCCTTGAGTAACCAACCAGTTGCATGAGACAACATTGTGAATATTCTAAAGAATCAAATGTATTTTCTCTATAAAGCAACTTGTAATCATCTCATTCCAAGGTTGTTCCAGAGTGCAACACTCTATTAAGGATTGTACCTAGATCCTTCCTCCTTCAGATCAGACTAAGCAGAATCAAGAGCTATCAAATTCCCCATGAAAATCTAGAAATTTTAAAATGGGATAGAATCATCTATGGAATCACAATTTTTTTTTGGTTGGAACTTTGGAGGTAACCTGATCCAACATTCTGCTCAAAGCATGATTTTGAAATTAGATCAGGTTATTTAGGCCATTTTCCTGGACACATTTTGAGTATCTTCAAGGATGGAGGTTCCACAACCTTTCTCACAGGAGGTCAGGTTTTTTGACTTATGGTCAAACATTTTTTTCTTATATCAGCATTTTCCTTGGTAGAACTTGTGACTGGTACCTTCCTTCCAACTTTTTACTGTGCATCTCCAATAGTTTTGTTCTGTCTCCTCTGTATCTCTCCTTATGTAGTTGTAGACAGGAATCATATACTTTTTTGGTTTTCTCTTCTCTAAACAAGTCCATCTGCCTCAGCTCCAGTCCCCTCAGTTTCTGTCTTTCCCAGGGAGCACATAAGTGAAAATACAGCTCCAACTGCCGAGTAGTAATTTGAGGGGAAGACTAATTTTCCACAATGTCTTGGTTATGTTCTTGGTAACGCAGCCCAGTATTGATCATTCACATTTGCTAAGAGGGCTTACTGCTCACCTACATACAACTTGCTGTTTCTCTGTCCTTCTCTGTTAAATGACTTTCTACACTGGCAGTGCCCTGACAGTACCTAGGCAGTTCTGGCTCAGAGGTAGGATTTGCCATCTGTCTTTGTTGAAATTCACATTTCTGTCAGGCTCATTTCTTCAGCCTATTAACACTGCTCTGAACAGCAGCCGTGCATACTAATCATTCCTTAAAAGTTTTACATTCTCCACAAACTTGCTAAAGATGCCTTACATGTGGCTGTCCAGATTGTTAATAGAGATACAAAAGTGTTGCTTTTGTGCTGTTTCCTGGGGAATGCCATTAATAAACAGAAACCAGTCACTTAGGTCTGTTGACCTTTCACTATGCAAGTCCACAACTGACCTTGTAAGCAATTTACCTAGCCCAATAAACTAGAGGAACACCACAGAAATCCATGAAGAAAATGTCACTAAAGACAAAGTAAATGGTATGTACTGCTTTCCTTATTCGCTAATAAGGAGAGCCAGTAATTTCATCATGGTCAGACTGTCTCATCATATCATCATTACCTGTCATGGTAAATCTGCACATCCTGCTTTCAGTCCACTCCTTTAAGTTTGTGTGCCTGGAAATGGCTTCCAGGAGAAGTTCAATAATTGCATTTTAGATGCCATATAATTAAATCCTGCTGTTTCTCACATTACCAGAATTTTTTTATTCTTTCTGTTCCATACCAAAATCTATTTTCTGTCTTGCTTTCATACAATCTCATCCCTTACTCTGATATATCTGAAACTGACAGACAGGGTGATTTAAGGGGTTGTCTGTGTCAACTTTTGATTTTACTTATAACAGAAATAAATAAACAAACAAACAATGTCAAGAGCAAAAGAATGTCAGATGTGATGTGTCATAGTTGACATAGCACTCTGGGGATCCAGGAGAAGACCTGTCACACTATGCAAGTGATAATTCTGCTTTCTGCAAGTGTATAAATCTATTTCTGATATGACAAGCATCATAGCACTCTGGGGATCCAGGAGAAGACCTGTCACACTATGCAAGTGACAATTCTGCTTTCTGCAAGTGTATTTCTGATTCTATTTCTGATATGACAAGCACTTTGTATTGTTATGGGGAGAGTTTACTTTGAGTGCTCCTCTATCTTTTTCTCTCAGGGCTTCAACATTAAACTGGCTTTTACTTAGGTTTTAAGAAGGAAGTCGTTCAGCTGATTAGCAAAGGCCCTTCAGCACCTTGGAAGCTAAGGGAAAAGGCTTCATTAGTGAAGAAATAAAAGTTATAACTTGACATTTTAATAGTAAGCACTTTTTAACTGCAATACTTTTCTGTAACTAGAAAAACAGTCTCATTTTACTCAGTAGCTCATTTTTTAGGAGAGTAATTGCAAGTCTTTCTGGACTGTTTTCTTGCCTGTTAAAAGCAGCAGCACGAGAATTGCTGCTGTAGATAAGAAAAGTGAGAATAATTTTTATGAGCATTATCTCCACAACAGTTGGATCATTATTTTTAGAGGAAAAGTTGTAAAGAATGTAGCAATAGGACATCTCCTAGTTTTCTATTCCCTCTGACTGTTACCCCTCTACAGGCACAACTACCATGAGCCCCATAATAATGAAGTTCTTCCTACGCCAGAATGTAGTATTATTTTGACCTTAGCACTGTGGTTAGTGACATGGCCTGTTATACAGAAGCAATTTAAGTATAAAAGAGTTAGTTTATTTTTAAAAGAGAAGCAAGGCAGGCTGAAGCTCTACAAGGCACTTCATTACCAACCTAGCTGTACACTTGCAAGAGCTTGTTCTGGTGTGAATACAATAACATCATGTTTGACCTGACTGAGTAGCAGTGTGACAGTTATGTTCTGAGCAGGCTTCCTGGCTGATGTGAGCCTGGAAACATAGAGCCACAGCACCTCAGCTCACACAGCACACCTGTGAACTGTCTTTTCATCTCCACACTGCCAAGTACTTGTTTATTGCTCAGCCTCATGTTAGTCACCAGCCTCTTGCAGCTGATCATCTCAGTAAAGAATCTGAAGGGCAGATGTGAAAACCATCATGAATTTTTGGAAACTATCTAAATCTCCAACAAATCTCAGCAATCCAGTACTATTTTCTTAGTCATTTATTATGCTTTTTTGTTGCCATGGAGCTAGCTCCAACATGTACAACATCACTGTGCTATGACATCTTTGCTTGCCACCCATTTTTATCCCTGATCATTGATTTGTTGTCAAAATACCACACATGAAAGTATCCCTACTTACCCATTTTTATAAACATTTCTATATTCTGCTTTTCTTTTCTCAGGTTCAAATTATATTTGAAAACTCATTCTAACATTTCCAGACACAAATAAGCATATTAAGGGAAATATCCTAATATCTTTAGAACAGATACTGGAAGAACACATGAACAGCACTTCTGTGTCTGAAACGTGTCCCTCTAGCCCAATGTTCAATCTCGGACAGTAACCAAGAGCAAATAATATCAAGTGCAACAATTAAAAAAAAGTTTTGATTTACTGGACTCATAATTTAATCAGTTTTGTAGCTAAACCCCATAATCCATAACCTTTTAACTGTGACAATAAAAAAATGGAAATTTATGGCATACAAGTCAGAAATGTCTTTTGAATGAGCCCTGCCAAATAGTCCTTGCTTCCACACACTTCCAGGTGACTTATTTTTAGGAATCGTTATATTGCAATCATTGTGTCATTATCTCCATACCCTGCAATAGGGAGAAAACACATTGATTTTCTGTGGGGCCTTGTAAATTATCACAGCAGGAATTCAATGCTGTTTAAAGTTTCTGGCGTTTTGATTTCTGGAGTGTGCTCAGTTCAGGTTTTTGATAGATGTTCAGAAAAATCAAGTGCTGACCTGAACTATCCCCAGTGAAGTCAGAAAAATATTTCCATAAAGCTCAAGGAAGCTAGACCAGTGCTGAGACTTGACTTTTCAGAATCACTAAACACCCAATTAACAGTGAAATCTGCTGTAAGTGGAGCTGAAACTGTTTAAATATCACTTTGTCTTCCTGAATTAATTAAAGAATAAATATGTATTCTATTACTAATTATCATTAGTTTTAAGTGTTTCAGTTACAAGTCATAATTTGGGAGAAATAAGTGTTCTTGAAAGCATCTATTTAACTAATAAGGAGAACAAAAAGGTTATATTCATCAAGATGAGGAAGAAACACTTCATTTTCCGATGGTATAAAAGTCAGACATGAATGTAAATAGTGCTTCCGATCACAATAGGGCTTAATCGGGTTTGTACCTTGGGCTCTTGGCAGCTGTAGGGTATGAGAAAGATGTCATTGTTATTAGCCAGATGCAAATAACATAGTCTAATATTTGGGATTATTTTCTTATCTCACAATTCAAACATATAAATGCAATAAATCCAGAAAAAAAATTCATTAGATTGAACACACAATCATGACTTCAAATGAATTTTGTCAAGAATTTGTGAACACACTACAGGGTTTTCCCGGTTGGCCCTGGATCCTGCTTGTTTCTGACATTATTTTTGTCTATATGTATCAATATTTGTGCATATAAACATATTCACATCTATTTCTGTTTTTCGTCTATGACTCTTTTGGAAGGGTCTTCTCCTTGACGTATTTTTAATGTTTACTGTTTTGCTGATGCTTCAGCACATATGGCCTCATACTTCAGTACATTAAATTGTTCTTCAGCAGAAAGCTGTTCAGTTGTGTTAATCAAAGCTGCAGAAACTCTGGTTGGTGAAAAGATTCAAAAGTGACTCTTAGTTCAGAGATCTTATCTGGATTATCATGCAGTTCCAGTGTGCTGCTGTCTGTATGTGGTCAACTTTGGGCAGAAAGAAAAAGATTTTTCAGATTTTCTATCACCAAATGCTAATGGTAAAAAGTGATTTCTTATTCAAAACAGCTGAAGCATATAAGGACTTATCTTGTAAAATTTCTGACAGCTAAGTATACACTGGCAAGCATAGTTATACTCCATATTGTGTAGAGATATAGTTTTTAATTCCTCAGGTTCAAAAAGTCCAGTATAATTGATGAGCCTCTTAAATACAAATGCTTTTTATAGGACATACTATTTTAAAGTATTCTGCTACAGCAAAATATTTGATTATGTTCTGGAAAGAAACCCTCTCATAGGCCTGCATGGCATTAATGCAGAAATGTGTATATTGTTTCAGAAATGTCTAACAGCATTCCACATATTCCATTTCATAAGCCATTTTTGATAAATGAAACCATTGACAACATGGGTAATTTATTGATCTTTTTCAGTGTGAACTTTCATGCATCATTAATGAGATGAATGTACCAGGTAACAATTACTAAACACTTTTACCCTACCTCTCTTTGGAGAGGGGTGGGGACAGGACTACTGTAATGGAAGCTTAATCATAAATATCATGTATATCAATTGAAGGAAATGCCATCCAGTTGAAAATATGCCATCCACATTTCTGAATAATATTACATGAAAAACGAGGTTGCAAAATAATCAAAAGCTTGAAGTAAAATGGCAAAATTTTTTGAGCAATCTTCTTATCAACTCTTTTTTTTAACTGCCTGAACAGGGTTGTATCATATGCTTGTTATCCATCATTTTGGAACAAACACCTGGGGCCATCAGCTGAAAACCAGTGTTATGTGTCAAGTGAATATGGAAAAAACCATACAGATGGGCCATGTCCCAATGCTTTTGAAAAATCCAATCGGTTATACCGGTGTGCCTCTCACTACAGGGTGTCCTCAAAAGTAAGTTCATGAAAATTCATCTGTTGTCTCAACAATTTTACTCCTTTAAGGTTTGATTAAAATATATTCACTTAACTTCAAGACTAGAGCTGTGAATTTTCCTTTATGTTGCCCTTGAATTTTACTGAGTTGAAATTCTTTATAGTTTCTCAGTTGTACATAATCTCTTTAAAGTTGACACTTTGTGGTCCCATAGAAATAAAAAAGAAAGTATGCAGTCATAACACTGCAGTTGTTCTTCTTAAACATGTTTCTGAAGGTTTTGTTAATTTGGTAAACCAAATATTCTCCAGCAGAAATGCAAGTACAAAGGTATATTTATATACCTTTCTATATTGTGTGCACTATATATATGTGCATAAAATAATAAATTGGTATGAGTTTTAATTTTATTTAATAAATGTAATCTTCCCTTGCTCTCTCTGTTGGTGCTCTCACCTCCTCTCAGGAAACTGATATAATGGAAGAAATCAAGGACAGAGGACCAGTGCAAGGTACAGTAAACTTAGAGGATGATAACATTATTGAAATAGTTAGACTGTGAAATGACCTTGTATCAAAATATTAGAAAATGCTAATTATATGCCACAGTGAAGAAACCAGTCATATGCTCTGTAGTCCATCCAGGGACATTTGGTGGGTAAATAGTGGCCCTAAAGGCAGCAGGACTGCATCAGAGCCTGTGAAGAGTAAAGTGACCTTGCACTGGATATGTTGAAAATTTGTGCAAAATGCATGTGCAGGAAATCTCTGTGCCTTTTTTCATGACAGTTGTTTGGTCATTGGTGAAATAGCAATTTATGGATTAAATGTTAGCCAAACTCAGTTCTGTAGGGCTGGGGTGGATTCCCCCATGGCTAAGACCAGCCCACCAGACCTGCTTTGCTCTGAAGGTAATGATGAACTATATGGGCATTCCAGCAAATCATTCAGTACTGAAATACCCCAGAATTTCTCATTTCAGGGGCCAAATGCTCTTGTTGACATCTACCAGATTTGTATTTTTTTGCTGAACTCTGCAATGAAATTCCCTGACCTCTCAGGGTCAGAAATACAGAGACTTCAGTTGGGGATTCAGCAATGAGTAGGGACCTGCAAACTTTTGTGGTTTTTTTTTTTTTTTTTTTTTTTACCCTGGGTACTGTCCATTTGTGGCCATGTATGTGCTGGCACCAGCTGAAAATGCAGGTTCCTTCTCACAGCCTGGGCCAGTGTAAGTAGAGAGACTGATGGATGTGGGTCTTGGGATGATGGAGAAAGCTCATAGTGCAGGATCTCCACCTCTCCTGGATGGCTGGCTGATGCAAAACCAAAGAATTTTACTTCATGGCACTTCTGCATTTCTACTGCCTTTAATTATACAAAGAATTATCATAATCTTCAATTTATTATTCAAATGGTTTTGATTATGAGATAGAATTCATTTTAGTGCATCATGTAGTTGAAATTACTTCTTAAAGCTTTTTATGTGGGCAGCTGCAATTAATCTGAAGTTCAGACTTAACAAGACCAACATCATCAGTCTTTTTTTTGTTCTGTCCAAGTTTGTTTACTCAAGGAAAATATTATTTCCCACACTGCATTTGATCTAGATGCAAAGACAGTAATTTCTGCTGGCTTTAGGATCCTCAAGATAGAATATCAAACCTCAAAAATTTTTCTGGATTAATCTGCTAGTACTAAATTTTACACATTAAATAATCAATATTCAGTCATTTGTTAGGATTTAGCCACTCAACAATACAATTTTTTTTTTTCTTCTAAATTTTAATGCTTTTGTGTATCAGGTTAAGGTAAGGTTGTTTGTAGAAAAATCAAGATATACATAATGGCATATAACTGAGAATGTGCATCGCTGAGTGAAATCACTTGCTGTTTTTTCTTTTGGCTATGAGTTTTAAATGAGTCACAATTATGGCCCTGGTTTTTGTCATTCTTTTGTCACTGATCCTCTCTTCTATCTTCCCATATTACAAATGCAACCAGGGCAAAAGTCTAATTTTAAAACCATATCATAATTTTTCTGCAAATGATCTTCAAATACTGAAGGAGGTTTTCCATTATTCATTCACTTGTCATTCCTGACGAACCTACAAAGTGCTTAAGGACAGTTTTATCTAATGTACTAAGCAATGTTTAATAGCTGGGAAATATTCAAGATCCTTTAAAGATCATGATGATGAATAGACTTTGATTTTTGGACATATTCAAAGTTAAGAAAAAAATACTTTTTTTAACAACTGTGAAGTAGTAGGTTTAGGAGTAGGTAACTCGAGATTTTATGTTATACAGCTTTCAAGTTTGAATGACAATTTCTCTCTGACCTACATCATTGTCTTATATGGTACAGAAACTGAGCAATTAGCATTTTTTGATTCAAAGATGAAATACAAGTTTTTTAAGAAATTAATTTGCAAATAAACATAGTGAAATTTCACCAGTAATTTGAAAACGTTCAGATGGACAATCCTAATATTGCCCATACATCTCTTTTTTTTTTCATGGACTTTAAGAAATACTCTGACAGTTACAATGCTGATGTAGGAAAATTATCCTCTCTGACACATTAGTCAGTCTTGATTAAAAGAAAGGCTCACATATTGTTGGCAATACATCAGAGTTTTGACCCCACAAAACTTACAATTTCAGCTGTTATGATCTTAGGAAAATTTTTTATATTTGCTAAAGAAAGTGAATCTTTAAAAATATGAAGAAAATGATCTGTAGAAAACGCTTGTCTATATTAATGTATAGAGCTAAACTTTGTTTCCTTTTGTAGCAACTTGTTTTCATTTCTTGTGTCTTTGTATGATTAAAAAGAGACAAAATGTCCTATTTAAGAATTTTATGCAGGGGAATCCATAGTGGAATCAATATTTTAATCTGCTGCCTCTATATGCATAGATCTGACAATTTCAGCGTGACTAAATAGCTCATGCAGGAACTATAGTAAATCTTATTAAAATCACTGCCTTTTCTGATTCATTAATAATTAATCTGTCCATTTTGGGAAATGCAGTCTTTCCTATGTGAGAAGGAACAAAATTAGTTGGTGGACTGTGATCACCTTGTCCTGTCCAACTCGGAGTCTGGATCAAGAAAAAGTCACCGAATTAATAAAAATATCTTAGTGCTAGATCTAGAATTATCATCATCTTTGTCCATGTTGCACTTCTTGCACTCAGACCACTCTAACTCTAATGAGTGTGCCATTATTTAGCTCCTTTTTGCAAGGTATTACACATACATAGCTATATACATATATTTACACACATATACAAATGTATGTATGCCCATGTGCCCAGGCATGCAATGTATATATAATATACAATCATGGATAAAATTCTATCACATAAACTAAAGTTATTCTGGAAAAACACCTAAAAAAAATTCTACTTCATTTCAATGGAAAAAAATTAGGTATGATATCTGTTCACAGACAAGGATGTGTCTCATTTGGGGCACAGGTTATATTCTCCTTTGTACTTACAGTTGAAGCAGCAACATTGAATGAAACACATGGGCTGAGTCTGTTAACACACGGCTCCACGGTGTCACAGCTCAAATGCTGGGGGGGTTTCACAATGGAATGGCCGAAGCACCAGGCATGCTGGCATCAGAGGGGACTCCCCTTTCTCAGAGAGGAAGGAGAGTCTTTGCTCAGGTCCCATTGCCAGAGCTTCAACCAAGATGTGATGGGGAAGGGGCACAATATCAGGCTTGTCCATGGCAAGGCAATTGGCCTCATTTCACATGTTTTGCTGATTCTCTCTTATCCCCTATAATTTTTGATTTCTTAATATTTCCAGCCGATTATGATAGAGGTTCTTTTAAAGCTAGTTAATTTCCTTCAAGTTTATGAAAATGTTCAGGTAGGAAAAAGAAATTTGTTAAGTATGCCAGACAGAAAAAAATGGCAGCATGATCTCAGCTTAATGGATACTGCAGATCTATACCAGGCACATATGTTATAAATAATAACCACATAAAAAATGGTCAGTGAGACTTGTACTTTATGGGACTCCCAAGGTGCAAGGCTTTAGGAAATTTGATTTCACTAATTCTCATGTTCCAAGTTGTGTGGCAGTTAAAATCATAATCTAAAAATAAAATGGAATGAAGCTTATAATTAATGCTTCTAATTCACTGGAATCTAAAGGTAATGTAGACCTGCAAAGTAGTTTCATTTCTCTGGATCTGGTAGCCCACCATAAAGCAAATGGCACTAAAGTGGCAGAACATATGTGGAAAAGAAACCCAGAACTATTTTCTTAATAAACAAATGAATGATGCACCTAAGAAATAATAAATAGGCATAAAATAAAACTTGTAGTCTTCATTCTCTTGCACAAAATTTTCAGTTCTTCAGGTCTTTCACCGTACATTTTTACGAAAAAAGGGGGTGATTTTTTCCACACTTTTAAGTAGCAGTCACGACTTATATGTATACAAACAATCTAGTTTTCTTTAAGGAGATGACTCTGTATTTAATGAACTTTAAGTTTCAGAAAAAGGCATTTCACTCCACCATATTTCACAGGATATACATTTTCTTGAATATGCAGATGCTAGTCTGAACTGGGTAGTTTATATATAAAGCTTGGGGAGATTAATTTTATTAAATTAGATTTCAAAATTTATGTAAGCCTTCACGAGGCAATGTTTCCTCTTGCTGCATTAGAAGAAGTCAGTGAGAGGGAGTTTCCATGACAAGAAAAACTAACAAACTTGATAAGAGACCACAGACAGAACTCTGTTGAAGTATTTCTATTGGTTCACTCACAGCAGGACACTTCTGAGAAACTTATGCTTTTAGTGTAATTGCAAAGTACACTTAATGCAGTCCAACACACAAGAATTTCACTGGTGAAATGCAAGGAGCAAATAATAATAGAGGTTATGTTTGCTGATTGTGGTGATTTTTTGTTTTTCAGCTATAATGAAAGTGTATGAAGATTTTTTTCTTTACAAAGAGGGAATATATCGACACTCCCAGAAAGCAGGATCTAAATGGAAAACTCATTCAGTCAAACTCCTTGGGTGAGTAAAGCACATTCTTTCACCATTTTTCTTTGCCAGTTGTGAGTGTAATAAAAGGCAATGATCAGTTTGTAACCCAAAGATTTGACTGTCACAGATGGAACGCTGATAGCTCCCAGCATAAGACTGATGTTTCATTTTTGCCTTGTCTACAAATTTTAGAGAATATTGAAAAGAGGTGTAGACCCATCATCTCTTAATCTACTCTTATATTTGTTTAAAAACTTCAAATAGAATGTTTATAGAATGAACCATTAAACCCCATATAAATATAGTTAAAACCCACATACACACACATATTAAAAAAAAAATATATATATATGTGCATATATACACACTATATAAAAATACTTGTTTGGGTATTCACAAATATTCCAAGTACATATCAAGTTGTGAACAAAGTTGATATAATTTTCTTCACATATGCCACCAAACAGAATGCAAATAGAAACATGAAAATTGACAGTGATCTCCTACTTAAATGGTATAGCTTACTGGCACAGCAGTCTAGGCTCTCTGTGCCCTGAATAGAAACCACCTGCTGCTGAGATGCTGCTGATTTTATTTGGAAAACTGCCTCAGAAGCATGTATGAAGTACACTAGTGGATTTCCTCTGAAATGCAGACCAGGGCCACTATGTTAAGAAGACAAGTATCTAATAATACATATTTTTGAATTACTGAGCACATCATGAGGCTTTATTCTTTGCCATGGAATATGCAAGGATGAATTTTTATTAAATCAATGAGTGAATACACAGAAAAATGACTGTAGAATCTCAAGAAAATATTTTTTGGTGGTCTAGAATATATAAGTAATGATTCAATGTGTGCTAGGAAAATTACGGAGAGTATTTTCAACAAGTATTTCAAGAACATAAAATTGCAAAATAAGGTTAATTTTGTGCTTGTGATCTTAGTAAAGATGTCTTCGTGAAGGGCATGGGAATGTCCTCCATGGTTGTGGAAACTGCCGGCTGTGGATTACAAGAGTGTGCTTGATGGTGGCATAGAAGTAAAGAGAAGCAGCAGGCTTATGCAAGATTATCTTTGATACTGCTGCAGAAAGTATTGACCCAGGCAAATAAAGGAAAAACTCCTGATCATATGCTTATGGACAATATTGTGCAGCAATGAAAAAGAGAAACTGGAACTTAGTATAGAAAAATGGAGCACTAAATTAGGAAAATATGTTTGTGGAGGACAGATGGTATGTGTTGGTACTCCATATGTACCAACCATATGAAGTTCCACAAGAGGAAGTGCCAGATTCTGCACTTGAGATGGAGCAACCCTGGATATACAAACTAGGAAATAAGATGCTGGAAAGCAGTGCCACAGAAAAGGACCTGTGGAACCTGACTGATTGAAAGTTGAATAGTTTCCTGGCAGCCAGGAAGGCCAACTCTGTGAGTTATCAGACCCAGCATTGCCAGCCAGGCAAGGGAGGGATTGTCCCTCTGCTCTGAACTGGGGCAGCCTCACTTCAGGTGCTGGGGGCAGTTTTGGGCACTGCAATATAAGAAAGATATTAAACTATTAGAGGGAGTCCAAAGGAGGGCAAAAAAAAGATGGTGAAGGGCCTTGAGGGGAAGCTGTATGAGAAGCAGCTGAGCTCTGTTCAGCCTGGAGGAGACTGAGGGGAGACCTCACTGCTCAGTTACAGCTTCTTGTGAGGGGAGGAGGAGGAGGGGCAGGCACTGATTTTGCTCTGTGGAGATCAGGACAGGACCTGAGGGAATGGCCTGAAGTTGTGCCAAGGGAGGTTTATGCTGGATATTAAAAAGAGGTTCTTCACCCAGAGGGTTGTTTGGCATTGGAACAGGCTCCCCAGGGCAGTGGTCACAGCACCAGCCTGACAGAGCTCAAGAAGCATTTTGACAATGCTCTCGGGCACATGATGTGACTCTTGGGGTGTCCTTTGTGGCACCAGGAGTTGGACTCAATGATCCTTGTGGGTCCCTGGCTAGTCAGCATATTCTATGATTCTGTATTTCTATGCTGAAGTGGATGCTGATTTAAATGGGAACTGACAGGCTGTGCAAAGAAAAGATAGCAATCCTCAGGCAAGGGACCACTACGAGCAAAATCTGAGCTCCTTGACTAAGACGCAGATATTGAATGGTCACTGGTAAACACTGAGAAGGAGGAAAGACAAGTGATCTGATGTACTGAAAAAGAACTTAAATGAAGGAAAAAGAAGAAAACTGAAGATGATATTATATAAGAAACCTCAGACTTGTTCAGAGTTTAATATGGGGGGAATGCATTTTCTTACTAACTCATTTACTTAATTTGAATATTCCTGAAGTATCCAATGGATCCAACAGTATAAAGATTTACCAGTCCTGGAATTGTCTTAGGCACAAATGTTGAAATGTTGTGGCCTCCAAGGCTGTGCCGTATAAAATGCTTGCAGATCATTATAAAATTGTAAAAATTGAATTAGATCTTGACAAGTTGGAGGCTGTTGGGGGCTTAAGCTAGGTGCTTCTAGGAATGATAAATCCAGCCATAAAATGTGATTCTGCATCAAGAACTCTAAACCACTTTGTTTAATGTCTTCAGGATTAAGCCATCACTTTTCAATGAATTTGAATGCAAAATGTGTGTTGTGGATGTATGTTCTTTGTCACTCATATATAGCTTGGAAGCAAAGGCAAATTTAGACTCCTTGACCTCAATAAAAAACTCATGGGAATCTCATCATAGTTGTACTTCAGATAAAAATACTGATGAATATTTGAATTTTGCTTAGCTGAGATGGCTCCTGGGGAGACAAAAAGGAGCAGAGACATGCTGATAGATAGGATAAAATATGCAGTTTTTTGTGGGTTGAGGTTTATTGTAGGCTTATTTTTATTTATAAGCCCTTCCATAAAAGACATTCAATACTTGTAAAAGGCAGCCATAATAATGATTGACCCTATTAAGATGATACTTGCAAAATTTCAGAAACATTTTTGAAAATGCCTTAAATTGCCTGTGAATTGTGCAACTTATGAGGCAATGGGGTGATAAAATGCAAACACATTTTGGTGACGCTTGCAAGAGCTATTTGTACAAAACCAGAAATGCACATATACAAACTGCTCAAGTGATCATTGGACCGGAAGGATTTTAAATGTTTAGACTGACTTCCCTTGTTCTGCAATGTGAAATTGCAAGTTATTTTCTATCATTCAAAGGCTTATTTATAAAATCAGCTGTGACAAGACTGGGAGTCAATCTCCAGTGAGGTCCTGTGTGACCCCAGGCTCAGGGAGAGAATATGAGAAGATGGAATAGCAGGGAAAGAGGAGAGAAAAGTGTGGAACAGCCAGGTGAGGGCTGTTGTGGGTAACAGAGTGTTTGGGTTTGGTCACAGTCTCTCTAGTGAAATAGGGCTTTCACTAACTTGAATGCAGGATGGGCTGACCCACTGATACTTAGAGAGAGCAGGATCTCTCAGGCAGTTCCTGTGTCTATTCCAGACACAGAGAAATAAGCAGAAAAAGTGAATAATGGAGACTGGGATATATAACAGCTAAGTTTTGATGTAGTAAAGTTAAATGCATATGCCCCTGCATGTTTCCTTTATCTTTTATAGATATTCATCTGCTCTAGCTTAAGTATCTAAAGGTGAGCTGAATTGCTTTGTTGGATCTGATTTCTCCTTGTAGACTATAATATAATTTGTGGGATAATGTCACAAATAAATAAAAGGAAAAATTCTAGACTAGATTACAGAAATCCCACATGCAATGGCATCTTAGATTTGCTTAAAACCAAAATGTCTGGTGTGTAATATTTACAGTAAGACAGTATTTTCAGTCTTGCGTATGTATGTGTGTATGTACATACATGCATTCATGGATCCATACATCCACAATTACAGCTCTTAATGACACCAGAATGAAAATCAGTTGAAGAGGCACAACCAAACTGCAAATGGCAAGAGGGAGTAAAGAGGAAAAACTATTAGTTCGTTAATTTTCATTTTTTTCACTCTCCTATTTTAAGAAGATTTATGGCTGAAAAATTATATACGAAACTGTAATTTTTATCTCAAGGTCTCTTAATAAAACAAGACTAAATTCACATCAAAGATGAACTCGATGGTAGATTTCTTTCAGATCTGCACGTTTAAGCTAGGATTTCTGATCAAACCTGTCATATTTGTTCTCTACCAGATTCTCTGCAACTTTTTGTTGTTGTTATTTGATTGTCTGGGTTTTTACAATTTTATTTTCCCTTCTTTCTAGTCTTCTGACTTTCTTAGTTCCATCTAGGAGAATAAATATAATGAGAAAATATAGAGGAAAAGAAAACCTGGGGAAATTTGTTGGTCTAAAATTCCATAGTCTGTTTGGTAAGGAAAGTATAGTTCAGTCAAGAAAACACATTGGATGAAGAAGCTGTGGTTCTAGTTCAAACAAATCTCTTTTAAAATTTAGTGAAGTAAAGTGCTCATCCTTAATGTTTGTAGCATGTTCAGACAAATCTCTCAGACTTTTATTTCTGAATCACTTTAGTATCAGTGCCAAGCTACAACATATGATCCATACCTCGCTAAAAAGCTGCAGCTGCTGAAGCCATGACACTGAAAAATCCAGGAAGGTCTCAAAAGCCCATGCCTTTGACTGCAATTATTTGTGGACTATCACTTTAAGGCTTGGAGGAAACAAACAAATATTATTAAAAGCTTAGATAATCTTTCATGAACAAGATAGATTTTCAAAGCTTGGAAGGAGCTCAGAATGACAAAAGGCTTTAATAAGAGGACACTGAGATGTACATTAGCTGGAAACGCATTTCCCCTCTAATTAGAAATTCACTCAAAGACTTAAATGGAATAATGCAGCAGATTAAATGGCTTGGCCAACTACTAAACTGAAACTTCTATGCCCTGAAAAAACATTGGTTGAATGTTTAACACAAAAAGCCATACTAATGGAGATAAAATTGATATGTGAGGCAAAGAGCTGTGGTTTAATGTTGAGGAGACAGCCAGACAGAGCAACAGCATTCTGAGATTTAGTACATAATTAAATGATTCAGCTATCCAAAGTCCAAAGTCTTGACTACTGCCAGTGATATCTGGAGTTTTGGCTTTGGAGACTGTGTTTCTCTATATTTTTCTCTTAGATGACCTCACTCGATCTTACACTCAAAATAACTACAAACAAGTAACATCTTAAACTACCGAAAGTCATAACCCAAACTCTTTTGTTCCTGAATAAAGAAACCTGGGCTTGAGTTCCCTTTTTCTTTCATGGGGAAAAAATAATTACTTTTTCACTATCAGATGATCAACATCAGGTATTATAGTTAAAAATTAAACAGCCACACTCAAATATTTTATAACAAAGAGAAATACATGAGGAGCTCATGGGAAAAAAGATACAGTGTCTGATGATTCATGCAGTTAAATCCATGAGACTACCTCCCATACAATTCATTACAGCAGATCTTTGGGATCTGTGTGAACTGTGGGATCTGTGGGAGTGATTTAACTCTTGGTTCATTGACTCAATTTGACTCACCTCCTGTGTTGGAAAGTCTATGAGAAACTACAATTTCAAATTCCAGCAACCATTTTCTAAGAAGCTTTCTTTTGTGATGAACATAAATTAATGACCCTAACCTTCTTATTTTTAATACAAGATTAAGAATTCAATATTTGTCTAATTGAGTAGATAAAATTGCTAAATTTGAAGTGTACTGTAGTGTACTGTAGTGTACTGTAGGCTGTTGTGATCCAGCACTAAGAATAGGACAGTATTCACAATGCTTACAACTTTTTTCCTCTGGTAGCATTATGATAGTTATACAACCAAATCCAGGGAAGAAACAGAGATGAGAAGTTTTTGGACTGCATATATTTGTGTCCAGCAAGCAGTTAAAATCCTTGGTTAATGCAAAATTTGACTTCTACCAATAACAAACAATCTGCAGAAATTAGCTTGAGATCTAAAACCTGCCATTCCTCTTTATTTTTAAGGCTGTATTTATTTTCTGTTCATATCTTCAGTCTTAAGGAGACAGTTTGTATAATATTATTTAGCACACTCTTCAGAAGTCTTCACTGTATTTGCTGTTAAGTGCATTTTACCTACAAAAGTGAGTGTAAGCACACTTGAACCTAGTTTCTCTTATCTGCCAAAACACCTTAGTTTTGAAACCACTGCTGATAACCCTTTTTCTTGTGTTAGGTTATATTTCCCATTTTTTAGTACTTTATTCAATGATTTTTTCCTGATAGTTTTCTTTATGCTTTTCTTGTGAAGTCCACCTACATTTTAGTGGTGTAGTTTATGGAAAAACAAACTGGGAAATGTACAAATAAAACCAATTTCTATTCTCTGTAACACTACTGAAACAGACTCTGTATTCTAGTTTTTTATCTGTCAGGCAGAGTTGTGTATTCAGGGCTTGCTCCTACAGAGTTAATATCAAGGGAAAGTTATTACTGAAAAGGACAGCTAAGGTGCCTCTGCTATATAAAATTGGACACAAAATTATGAAAATCATTTTATATAAGACCACAAGAACTCATCCTTTTATCTGAAAGAGCAACAGAATTCTTTTCACAGAGTCACTTGGAGCAGGTTTCCTTGGGGTAAATGGAAACACATTGCCTTTTTTTTTTTTTTTTTTTTTTTTTTTTCCAAGTTTATTTTTGATTGAAGATCATGATTATTTCTCTTGGAAAAGCTAAGTGGAGTATTTCTCACAGAATATTTTTGCCAAATACAAGAAAGCTCCCTTTCAAAAGCAATTTTCAGTAATTGATAAACAGACCTCCTTAATGATTTCTTAAAATCTCCATTTTCTTCTAAACAAAAAATGGAGAGTTTGGATATGAAATAGTGTCATGATTTAAGCCCAGCTGGAAATTAAGCAGTCAGTCTCTCAACTTCATCTCTCCTGCCAAAACCCCAGTGGAATGGGGGATAAATAACTTGTAGATTGAGATAAGAACAGTTTAATAATAAAAAATAATGTAAAATACAATAATAATTGCAAGTGATAATAAAAAGGGAAAAAGAAGTGCTGTACAATGCAATTGCTCACCCGCTGACTGACACCAGAACCCCCGCTTCTTGAACACAGATTGGACATATTTCTGTCTATTTTATACACTGGGCATGAGTTCTGCAAATACAGATCAAACAAGTGGTGCTGATGGGATATACACCAGTAAACACCCTGTCAATGGCATTTGATATACCCTAAGATTAACTTCACACTGGGGAAAACTATTTAAAAGTTCACATCTTTGTGTTCTGTTTATTGGTGCCCTTTCATAGGCACCCAAGCATCATGAGCTGTGAATAGTAACTAGACAAGCATTCGCTGTATAACTGAAAAACAAGACAGAGCTCTTTAAGCTCCAGCAGAAAAACCACGAGTACTTAACTACCTAAGGTGTGCAGTGCAGCTCCTGCTCACTGAACTACATCTAGATGATTGGGTTGCAACTTCTGCCTTTTGTATAAAGTGAAACCTAAAAATCAGAGTATTAAGCAGTTCAGCTACATCTATATCCCTATGAAAATCCTATCACTTGGCAGGTGGGGATGGCAATGGGGAAATTTCTTGTATGATTTTATGGATATTTTCATAAAAGTTAGCATGCCCTCAAAGATGACAAAACATCAAACTCCCCCCCTGCCCCATGCAAAGAAACAGATTAGGCTGTCAGCAGTTCAGTTTGATCTGAGAAAAGCTAGGAATATTTTCAGTCCCAACTCACCAGCTATTTCTATAAAGGTGCTGGATGAGACTTTTAACAGAAATATTTCTAGGAATCTTCAGCTGAGTTGAAATATGCTTACAATAGTTTCAATATTCCTACACAGCTCAGTTCAGCAGGCAAGCTCTCCAGAAGAGAGATTCTGTCAATGAAAACAGGTTTTTGCAATGAAAAACCAAAACTAAACTTGTGTTAACTTTTTGTAATAACTAATGGCAATTTGACTTGTGCTTTCCAAGTTAGGAGGTAATCTCACTTGAATCATCAGAGTTTGTTACTCAGACTTTGTTTTGACACTGATAATTATTACAATTAATGCTTTTATTTTCTGACTGCTTTTTTCAACAAAGTACCATTATTTTCTAAAAGGTGGGGAGCATTACCTGACAAAAATGGACAGAAACAGAAGTTTTGGGTAAGTGAATACTTAGGACAGTGTTTTGAAGCGGAAGAAAAAATATCTCAACAACAGAGATCATCTAAAATCTACTTCTTTACTTTCATTCACTCTCTATGCATCTGTTTTTTTCCTTCACCTTTAAGTGTCCTGTGTAATTCTATTCCCTCTCTGGCAACTTTTATCATGCTGACCCTCAAACTATTGCATCACCTACCTCATTTTCAAAGCCTGTTTCATCCCACCTATACCTGTGTTTTTTTCTACACTGCCTTTTCTCTTTCAAATCTTATTCAATTTTTCAAATGTTATTAAAAATTTCTATGAAGAGTCAGTTTTTTGATGCCTGCAAAAGTCAGTAAAATTAATCAATAGTAATTGTTAAAATATTTGGAAAAGACAAATTTTCTGTTTAAACTGTTGGAAATTGTTATCCAGCCACCAAAACTAAAACCAATCAAACTAAGAAAATTTCCTTTAAGCCATTTAGAGTAAGTCAAATTTTATCACTTGGATTATGTCTAACAGCTCATCCCATTATTCCTGCATTCATTTGAAGGTACTTTGGTGTTTACACAGCTGATGGTAGGGCTTATGGTAGGCAGTTTCACTGGTATCAAAGGCAAAACCTACTGAGACTACAGAGACTTCACCAGAAAATAAGTTGCTTAATATGTCAATACCTACCTGAATGAAACTTCATTTTTTAAAATTAAGCTTTATATATCTATATATATCTATATATATCTATATATATCTATATATATCTATATATATCTATATATATCTATATATATCTATATATATCTATATATATCTTTGGTGTGTCTTTAATGGGTTAGTTGGAATTCTGACCATTGTTGTTTCAATAACCACTTTCAGCATTCATTTAATGATTTCTGCCTCAATGTATCAAATTGTCTTGTAGAAATACTATTCCATTTTTACTCTACCTGGTTTTGGAACTGAAATTATGATCAAAGCAAAAAAGAAATCAGAAAAAGACACATGTTAATTCTCAGTGCACCCAATCTGAGTGACTCTGTTCCTTAAAAAGGAAACTAACACAAAAGATTAATTTTGCATTTAACACCCTGCATTTTTAAATGACATTTAAAAATAATAATAAATAAAATAAAAATTTGTTTTGTTTACTTTTAGATTGCTGCAAATTCCTGGGGAAAATCCTGGGGAGAAAATGGTTATTTTAGGATTCTTCGTGGACAAAATGAGTGTGATATTGAGAAGCTGATTTTAGCTACTTCGGGACAACCATAGTTTGTCTATACCATACTCTGCTTGGTGTATCTATTTTTTCCATTGTTGTTTATTGAGTCTTTATGGGTTAAAAATGGCATCTTCTCTCTAAGTTACCTTCCTGACTTGAACACACTGCAGACACCGTAGCACTCTTGGATCTTTCCTGGTACAAAAACCCTTTAGACTAAAAGCATGTTGGATCCAGGACTACTGAAAACCTTGATGTCTCACAGAGCAGGGAGTTCCCTCCTCATTGAAAAATGCCAGATAAAAATGGAATTACAGTGTTAGCATTAATCTCTTTGCAGTATATACTCTGATCAGAAATTATTTCAGAAATATTATGTGCTCTTCCAAACAAAATTGGCTCAGACAGCTCATAGTCCTACTGGATAATAAAATCCAAAGAAATGCAAGTAGCTGTGGTCCTATAGTTGAAGGAATATTTCCTATACACCTTTACTTAAAACTAAGTAGATAAATTTTATCTATGTATCAATATCTCATCCAGGAAATTAATTTTTTTCTAGTAGATACCACAAAGTTGATGCATTCAGTGTAATACAAAAATAGCTTGCAATGACAGAGTGTGTTCCTGTTCCTACAACCACAACTGAAATGGTATAATTTTAATAATGTTTTAATTAAAATAAAATAAGAAAATGTAATTTATCCTCAATTCATTCTAGACTGGACGAATTCCTGAACTGCTTGCCTTCCACTCCCTGTTTAACCTGAGAACAAGCATGTGCCAGCATTCCCAAAAGCCTGCTGCAAACAGAAAAAGATGGGAAAGATATTCTGTTGTTTGCCTGGACTGACATGTCTGTAATCCAGGCTCAGTTCCTGGTGCTGGTGATCTGGATCAGTAGTGCCAATGAGACCTGCAGAACTCCTAATGCTTCCATAGCTACTTCTGCCTGAGGAAGCTGCTTTATGACCCACACTCCCTCCTATAAGCATTGCTGTAAATCTTGACAAGTTTATGGGCTGTTTTGCTTATTTGCTAATTAATATATAAATATTGAAACTACTGACATAAGAAGAAATTAAATACCTTCTAGCCCTTTCTGTTTCAATTAATACAAAGGCCAAATGCCAACTGTAGTAAAGTTATCTATGAAAGGAAACATGGCACGTTAAATAAGTGGGAGGAAAAAGCTGCCATGAAATATCAGTGAACAAAGAATTTCCAGGTGTACCTTCAGTGTGTGTAATAATGTTCATTCTTTCTATAATAAGAACCCGTTTTTTAATGTCGTCAGCAAGTTCATTCAAGAATTTTTCATGGCAGTGGTATATGACAAATGCCCATGTCTCTGAAATAACCTCTCTTAATCTAAAGTTGGGTGACAATTTATGTTGCATCACTTACAGGAGCTATTGTTAAAATGTCCGTACCATACTGCAGCACAACAAGCCTTCTGCAGCCTTTAGTGCCATATAGTAAACTGAATTTAGACACAAAAACCCCTTTATCTCTTGAAATTTGTAGCAAAGTGTAACACAAGCAATTTTAGATACTCTTAATGCTCTGAGAGAAATAACTCTTCTAGTTTTAGTGAGAGCTAAGTCAGTACTTGAGAGAAAAGTGTACTGAATCATCTGCACACCTATTTCCCAACCTCTTGGTATGTATTGATTCCATAAATGTCAAGATTTCAGAAGAGTATAATTTAACTTTGAAGTGAATGACACTGTAAAAACATGTTCAGTAAACTCTGGGGGGATTATTTTTTTCAACTTCAAATTGGCTTGCACTGCTGTGGCTTTTACTTTTGCCAGTGGCTGTTCCTGCTCCTGATGAGACCTTCCTAAGATCTGGTCTGTGATGTTAAGCTTCTAATTTAGGATAGTCACTTTGTCCTGGATGCCCAGAGTGAAATTCCTCAAGGAGAGCTTCCCCTGGGCATGCTGAAATTAGGGAGGCTTCACAGTTTCACCGGCAGCCAGCACTGGGACTCAGCTGCAAAGCTTTATGTGCAACTTAGTGCAACATGTTTTATAGGAACACAACCTGAAACAAGAACAAGAGGAACAAGAACTCCCATGGACATAAGGAATTTGCATCTAGAGTAGGGATGAGACAAGCCCTGAGAACGACAAGGGAACTGTGGTTTTCCTGTAGTTGCAGGGATCATGGAAAGTTGCCAGACTAAGAGCAATCCTGAAGAGAGGAGCTACACTTCCAGAAATCAGAATAAGAGAAAGATATGTTTGTAAATCTTTTCAGCACAATGTTTTAATAGAGATGTGACAGAAACTTGCACTTGGTCACCTACCAGTTACCAGTGGAAACTGTTTCGTATATGAACTTACATCTTTGCACCCATTCCTCGCTGCAAGTATCAAGCCTTTATCAGGATGGAGGCTGTGTCTCTGCCCCAGTTAACAGCAAATTGAAACATTGCTTTATTCTAAAATTCTCCTTCATCCCCTCATTTAAGATACACCTGTATCCAGTTACCATGCTTGTTTCCAGACAATGTGGAGACCCCCAGCTCTCAACGTTTTCTTGGTCCCATGCTGTTCAGCAATCACCCCAAATCAAGGATGGTGGCAGAGGTCAGTGAGTGAGGGGTGCAGAGCAGGCACCTCTGACTCAAATAACTTAGTTAGGGCATATTAGAGACAGAATGAATGCAATGAAAGGAATAAATTTTCTTTTTTCTTTTTAAGTCTAGCTGTCAAATACACACACCATAATACAGTGAATGTTATTGCTTCATTTATAACAATTTATTGTTTTGTCTGGAAATCATCATGGAGCAGCACTGCTCAAAGCTTTTCCTGGAGAAGGCAGCTGGGGAAGAAGCCTGAGGCAGGAGGTCAGACTAAGCTCACTACTGAAATCCTCTGTGCTTTGAAGTTTTTGGGGCTCTTGAAGTCATGGGCTGCCTCAGGCTCTGTATGAAGAATTTTAGGCCTATCTGGATGTTTCATTCAGCTTTTCCAAAAGTGGCAGCCACACAAACACATAGATGGGAACTCATTAATTTAAACTACTGCCTTAATATAAGCACAACTGCAATTCCATTGCAAAACTCTGGAGACTATAATATTTTATTTCTCACTGCAGCAAAATAAGCATAAAACCACAAGTATAGTTCATTATGTCTATCAAATCATGATATATAGCCCAATGTGTTACCAAAGAAAAATTTCTAGAAAACTTATGAGTGCTGTACTGTTATACAGTGAAGGACTCAGCTGTTGATCCAAATTCATCAGCAATGTTACTATTGCATGTAGTTACAATACTGTTCTCACTCAGAATCACAGAATTGGAAAGGACCTCTAAGATCCTCAAGTCCCACCATTAACCTAGCAGTGCCAAATCCCTAACATGCACCCTTAAATTTCAACATCTACAGCTTGTTGAAATACTTCCAGGGATAGGGACTCAACTACTTCCTTGAGCAGACTTTTCCAAGTCCTGAAAACCCTTTCTGTGCAGAAATTATTCCTCATATCCAATATTAGGAATTATTCCTAATATCAGTGTAAACCTCCTCTGGCACAACTCGAGGCCATTTCCTCTTGTCTTGTCGCTTGGCAGAACAGACTAACCTCCCACTTTTTGATAAGGTGCTCCTCCAGCCTCCTTTTCTTCAGGCTAAACAAATCCAGTTTCCTCAGCCTTGTAAGACTTGTGCTCCAGCCAAAGGGCTTCTCTTCATCAAGAAACTTGGAAACAGCGGAATTGGAAAATCAAGGTTTTAGAAACTGCATATCTTCTTTTTTAAGCTACAGAAGTTTTTTAAGAGCACTGTGAGCTACTAGCTAGCAGGATCCACTACATGTGAAAAAGTGTATTAAAAGTGTGACCTCAATAGAACCCAAATTGCTGAAGTCTGTGAAAGTCTTGACATCAGAAGAAAGGCAAAAAAGTGTAGAAGAAGAGGGAGGGGAGAATAATGGTTTAATATGGTTTAGTAATTCTTTTTGGCATGGAAGCAAAAAGTAGTTGTACTTTTGCCTTGGAAACAAAATTCAGTAAGTTTTGAAGGGCTTCAGCTCAGTCTAAAACAAAATATAAGGCCATATTTACAGATTTTTTAGCAAGTCTGGGCCAAATTTTGACAAAGCCTAAAGCAACAGTATGTTTCAACTGGAATCATCATCTTGTTATAGTTCCACTCTACCGACTCTGGCTTGAAACTCACCCATTTCACTCTGATTTCCTTCTTGGAAAACTAACCAAAATCAAAATGGACTGTAACAGGAGATTATCTCACATTCTCTGAAGGAATGCACCAGAACTATATAAAAAAACCCAAACCAAACCAAACCAAAACAAACAAACAAACAAAAAACCCAAACAAACAAAAAAACCAACAAAACCAAAACAAAACAAAAACAAAACCAAAAACAAACCACAAAAAACCACAAAACCCCCTGCATCTTTATTCTCTAGTAAATATAGATCCTGCCAAATTTCATCCAACACTGCTGCAAACAAAAAATACTAGAGCACCACAGTGTAGCTGTCCTAGTGACATTTTCAAGGTAAATAACTGCACAAGGATTCATCCAATAAAAAAGCACAGTGGGGAAAAACAGAACTAATCCTTCATTTTTTCAAGCCTTGAAGAATATACTGTTCCATTAAACAGGAAACCTTCCTTCTTTGAGTGAAGTTTGGATGAACAGATGGCATTTCACTAATTGGCTACTTTTAATGTGGATTTTTGTTCACCGTTCTGATGCTTCTTTGTCCCTCATGGTGTGCTGCCTTTTAATGTGTTTGCATTTCTTGTGTTACCTTTGTTATTACTGACATGCTAATGCTTGGGACACTGAAGGTGATATTTAAATAATGCTGCAGGCAAACCATCTGTGTATACTTAAGAACTTGGGTTCCCATAAGTTTCCATGGTATTTTGGAAAAGCTGGTGGAATTTATTTCTGGAGAGCAGAAAAACAAGAAATTTAATGTAACTTCTGTGTACAGAATTTTCTCAATGGACAGACTGCCCAAATGCTAGTAGCAGAAAGGGAAAGAACATAAATAGGCAAAACTACTTTGATTTCAGTCTGATTTTGTTCTGTTCTTTCATAGAATCATAGGTTCATAGAACCATCAAGGTTGGAAGAGAGCTTTAATATTATCAAGTCCAACTGTCAACCCAGCACCACCACTGTAACCCCTAAATCACGAAACCATTTCATCCAGAGCAGGATCCAGATGCTTCCTAAACACCTCTGGGGTTGGTGACTCTATCACCTCCCAGGGCAACATAACAGCAAATATTTTTTCTAATATCTAATCTGAATCTCCCCTGTCTCAGTTTAAAGCCATTTTCCCTCATCCTCTCACTGCAGACACAGTAGAAGAGACCAGCCCCCACCTCACCACAACCTCCTTTCAGGTAGTGTAGAGAGCAATGAGGTCCCCCATGAGCCTGCTCAACACTTAAAAATCCCAGCTCCCTCAGCCACTCCTCATAAGACATGTTTCTAGACCTTTCCTTTATCAAAGTGGGCCACTTTTTTGCAGAAGGAGATCAAGTTGGTCAAGCAAGACCTGCCTTGGTAAATCACATTGGCGGGGCTTTATCCCATAGTTGTCCTGCCCATGCTGTGGGATGGCACTCAGGATGATCTCTTCCACAACCTTGCCTGGAATATAGGTCAGGCTGGCAGGTCTGTAGTTCTCCTGATCATC